CGAGGAACATGTAGTATAGTATACATACTATACGCAGACGACTGCCTCGTTGGTCTAGTGGTTGTAGTAGTGCGACTGCTGATCATCACTTGGGCACTACTGTCCTGCGCCGATGGCTAGTCTCTGTTAAGACTGGTCTAAGGTCGCCGTGACCCAATTTCGGTCACAGCGACCAGCCGGCGGACATTATTATTCTTTCCAAAAAAATTGTCTCTAATTTAAACTATGTCATTTATTTTCATAGTCTTGTATTGTTTGTTAAAACAACGGTAGTAACTTATAAATTAAAGTCCGAATAGTAAGATGTCCCATTTGAAACAACGTGGCTCTAGCATTTACTCTGCTGAATCGTTATTCAAAATTTGACATCGAGTAAAATTTACTAATATATATATTGCATGCATATGCACTTCGAAAACATTTAATTGCGATCCATCCATTAGAAAAGCCATTAGAAGTGTCGTCACGCTTTGTTGCATCATGGTGGTGAGCGATCGATTTGACATGCGCTTGTAAATGGATCGTTCAGTCTGCCCTCAGGTCTATTAAGCTCTATCAAAATGTTTTCGATTTGACACCCTGATTTATTTTACCTTTGTCTGTTTTGCTATGACAGACTATCAAGTCCAATGCTGAACGTATGTCTCCCTCGTAGATTGCCTAGATAGAGATGTTATTAGCCATAGTTGCCACGTTTAGCAGGCAACCGCCGTTTGCTTATTATATTGAGTAGTTATAAGAAATATGCCGCGGTTCATCGCCTGATTCGTTCCCCTCTGTCGCCTCTTAGTACACGCAAGGAATGATATGGGCTAGTGGATATTCTTATACCGCCACTACCCAGCAAACTTGTCTTTTTATAGAATAACGGTGACAAATGAGTACACAGTCCACCTGTAAGTGGATGCTGTGGCCAGCATCCACTGTGGATCACAGGTGGACGCATTGCCTCAGCGCTGTACTCTTTAATTTTTTACCCCTTTATAACTTTTTGGTAAATTCTTATACCTACTTTTAGTAATTCCTATACATCCATTTCTAATCTAATAAATATAAAATATAACTAATATTTCAGAAAGAAACATTAATTTGTACACTTTTCTAACAAATTAACTTCCTCCGCCAAGTCTTGAAATTTTGAACGTATTCTCTTGCTGACGTAAACTTTTCTTCCACTGGTACTTTTATATTTCTGTTCCTGATATTAGATATGTTTTAACATTAACTGTGTTATTTTTTGCATTTTTTAACCGTGTTGATATTTCAGCAGTAGCGTTATCTTTAGCCGACGAAATACTTTTTAATTAACCCTCTATAAATGGAAGTGTCCGTGTTAAAATTCTTTTAAAGTAGAACACTGTATTTGAGATAAAGAAGCAAGTTTACGATTAACGCAACCAACAATTTAAGAGTACATAACGGCGTATGCCGTTGTATTAAAGGAATTGTCGTTACCGGGCTGCTACAGTAATTTCTTAAGAAAAATTTGAAAATATTCACGTTTCAACATATATAAATGTTTCGGAAAATCCATAGGAACTACAATACAAATTACGTACTATTGTGGGATGTTTTAGGGTTGATAAGGTTACACCTAGCCATCTCTAAGCCCTAAGTTTTACCGGTATTTCGCTTTGTTTGTCTGATACGAGCAAATTCACCTGATGGTAAGTGCGTGGACACTTCTTCTATTCTCGATTACGATGCACATGCGTTTTCTCTCCGATGACTAAGATACCTCGTTAACCGTTATAAGGATCTTGGATCCTCCACATTCACTTTATTAAACACTGCAGTATTTTGCTAATATTTTCCGCTGATATTCATTGTAACTGTCCCGACCCATTCATTGTGAATTCAAAAAAAAAAAAGAAAGAATCTCTATGATTAAAAAAAGGTCTTTACATTCTCTTTTATATTAAATTATATAAAAGAGAACGTAAAGACCCTTCATATGATAATTTTAATGTAATACCTTTCAACTGACTGTTTTCATATTATTACACATATAATGAAATCACCTGTGTAAACAGTCCTACCGCTGAAAATGGGCCTCTATTGTTATCATGTCAAAAATATTTCGCTCTGGATCTTCACCGTCCATCTGGATAGTGTAGTATAGCTCGCAGTAAGTAAATTATCTATACTTTTAATATAATAAAATGGAAGAGTTTTTTTGTTTGTTTAAACGCGCTAATCTCTGGAACTACCCGTACGATTGAAAAATTATTTTTGTATATAATAGCCAGATTCATGTGGAATAGTATAGGAATCTATCATTAGCCTATAACTTTCAGGTAGCCTAAAATATTGATTTTTGTTAAGCAAGTCGGAAGAAAAGGCGCTCAATAACTGCTTTATCCGAGTGCGTTGGCGTAACGTTTACTATTACATAAATACAATGTTCTACAAAAATATTGGTCTTTACTCTATCTAAAAAAAGGCCGTGATACCATATGCCTATTTCTTATACATAAGCCACAATAAGGTATTTTTTGTGACAAAAAATGATTGAAAACTAAAAAGTGATTTATGAGCGTTATTATTAGGTATGGCATATTAATCCTTACGAATGAAAGTTACTTCATCATCAAGACAATTTTATGAAGATAAACTTTGCTCTTAATAGCATGTTATTTAGACGCATGGTTTAAGAGGTAATGAAAAGTTAAAATAATGATCACTGCTCGGAGCTCGAACAACCGCTTAGATCACATGGACAAATAATTGCTATTGCCGCTGCGTCGTCAGGTATAGTATAGCTGCTTCACTGTTGGCAGGCGGGGGAACGGCTCATTTTATCTTTAAGTTGCCCCTTACAGTGTCACTTAAACGAGATAGTGTGTATTCTATCCGTAAAAATGTCTCGTTGGGTAAAATCTCACAAGATGCCAATCTAAATAATATGGGATGAGTGTACCATGACTCATAGAGCTGACGTAGAGGCATTAGACAGAACTCTCAGAGACATAAGGAACACAAATAAAGTTATGGGTGGAATTACTTTTATTTTTTCTTTGCCTGCAATAGTTAGGAGAACTAGAGCAGATGTTATTAAATCTTGCTTAAAATGTTCCCCTTTGTGGAAATTGTTGAATTCTTAAAGCTGTACCAACATGAGGAGACACTTGGGTGGAGGAAACACAGATTTCCCATAAAAGCTGTTATTGATTGGTAATGGGAAAGTACCTGAGTGAACCAAACAAAAAATCCATTGATAAAGATCTTGGTGAAATCGTAACAATCACTGAAGACCTAATCTGTAGAGTATACCCGGATGTCGCTAATATAAACCAAAAAAATTATCAATGGATGTGTGAAAGGGCAATTTTAGCTGCCAAAAATAAAAGCGTTGATGCCATCAACGATAAAATAATGGCCAAACTACCAGGCGACAACATAAACTACCTTGCTATTGCTACTGTCATGGATCAAGAAGACGCGGTACATTACCCCCAAGAATTTTTTAAAATCTTTGAATCTATGTGGGCTGCCCCCATGTTCACTGAACTTTAAAAGTGGCACTCCCATTATTTTATTACGAAACCTGCGGCTACCAAGTCTATGAAACGGAACTAGGCTTCAAGTTAAATTTCTTAGGAATAATATCCTAGTTGCTATAGTTTTGACTGGGCCAGCAGTTGGGCAAACGGTACTGATACCTCGAATTTCTATGATACCTACAGATTTATCATTTAGTTTTAAAAGAATACAATTTCCCATAAAAGTATCGTTTGCAGTCACTATAAATAAAGCACAGGGACAGACTTTCAAGCACGTGGGGATAGATTTAATTGGATGCTGTTTTTCTCATTGGCAGTTATATGTTGGTTTATCTAGAACAAGATGCGTTGATGTCGAGATCCAGAAATCACCCATGCGAAGCCGTGGCGAATGGCTAGTATACAATAAAAAACAAATTTTTATCAAGATTAAACCTAGAGGACCTTTTTATCCAAGGGGACTTATTCTTTTTAAGGTTAGATCGAGAATACTTTGATTATGTAAACATGTATATAACCAAAACGAGAATATTATGGCAGAATTTTTTATAAACCATGTGTCTACTCTGTATTTATTTCTTACGTAACTTTTCCTTTAGCCATCTATGATTCTCACTCACAATAAATCAGTCAAATAAATGTGTCCCGGTCCCAGTAACATTGACATTGAGAGCGATCCCGCCCACGCTCCGACCCAGTTTCAATCGCTTAAGCGAACGTTTTAGTGCCGATCAATCGGCTCCCACGGGAAATTGTCAATGGACCACCGACTTATTTACTTCTTCACATTGGCTTGTTGAACAATTCTCTTGAGTAGCCCATATTGTTTGTTCGTCATGTCTATTTAGGATCAGAACGTGATTGTTTCTGTTGCTACTTCATTTTGATTAGTTTTTGTAAGCTCTAAATATTTATTTTACTTTTTTAATTACTATATGTCAATGCTTGTGCAGGTGAAAATGGCAAAGGTACTTACTTAGTTAAACAAAAGTCTATTCACTCTTGCCTTGAAAACTACATTGCAATAGAATGGAAAGACATATGCTGGTAAATTATCCCACTCCTTTGCTTTACGCATTATGCTTTAAAATGAAGAAAATATTTTCGGGGATGGCACTAAATATCTTGATGAAGTTTAGAAGTATAACATTATCTCAATACAAAATTTCATACAAATTGTAAGAGCCATTTCCGAGAAACCAATGACATAATAATTACAATTATTTTTCAGAGTAGCCAAATTTTAAACTTAAGTTCTAATATATAAAATAATGATACACCGTTATTGCAGTTTTTGAAAATACGAGTAAATAAGGTTTCTACTTTTATTTGAAAATATCCCAAATTGAATGTGATTTATGGCCAACGGTACGCGTACGCGTAGCCGTGACCAAGGTTCGGAAGACACATTATCACAACCAATATATGGAATAATTTAAGGGCCATAGTGAATTTTCCATGATCGAAATCTTACAAAAAATATTTTGTTGTCGACAGGGTCGTCCAGAAAAACCTTTGCCAGCACTTGCGGCGCGCCCTCCGCCGCCGGCGGCGATAGTGCCTCGCACTGCGGATGGTCCGCGCCCACCCGGCTGGAATGGCCAGCCACGCCGTCATGGATCCAGCCGCTTCAGTGTTCAACATCACAATCAGGAGCTGGTTAAATTACCTCCCATCAAAGGTGAGTTTTTCAACGTGATATTAGATATTATTGTGATTGGGATAAACACTTGTACTTGTTTCACAATATTTATTTTAAAATTATTAATATACTGACTAATTTTATAACAGACTTTAGGAAACAGGTACAAGTGTTTATCCAAATTACAAAAATGAAGCTGGAGTATTACCAAGTGACAACAATTGCAAGTATAAATGATATTCGATAGTTCATCCAGCCACCATTAGAATTGCTCATTTGTCTGCATTTTTTATTTCTATATGTTTTTTGTAATGGTATTAAACACCAAAAACATTTTCTTGGACGAATTTGCTAGAATTTGGACTACTATATGCATTATTGGTGGTAGACATTAGTCCTGATCCTGATATTTACTTATGAAGGTGTGAAGTTCACCTTCATCTGAAAATTGTAAAGGAAATTACGATGAAACGAGTAATTTTGTTCTGCGGGTCTAGCCAAGTTGACTTTCTGCAATCGTTAACGCAAATCGAAAAACATAAAAATGAATGGGAATGACATAATATCTCAACGATACGTGACATTCTTTCGTCTGTTGTCCGGTTCTCTACACTCACCATATGAAACAGCAGCATTAAGCTGATATTTTACTCTGATATTCCGTGAGATTGTGATCTTCCACGGTCGAGCCGACCCATTAGTGCTACAACGATGCGCTACGATGTTGTTCTCTATTATTGTTAACGATTGTAGATGACAATTGTTTAAGAATCCTATTTCTGTTTTTTAGAAGTTATTCAATTATGTATTTCTATAAGGTCGGGTAAAAAGTTTCGTCGTATTTTGTTTGTATAATATTGAATAAAATTCTCTTTGGTTTTACTGTTTGTATCTGGCTGGTTTTAATATCAATACATAATATTATAGGACTCTAAGAAAAATAAAAAGTAAAAAAACACTGCCGCTATTTTTCAATTGTTTTTCTGTCCGCGAAAATGAGTGAATCTGACTAAGAAATTCAATACATTCTGAAGTTTTATTACAAAAAAGGAAAAATGTCACTAAAGCCACGAAAATAAAATTGTGACGTTTATGGACTTTTAATGCAGTGTTATTTAGAGTAGTACAAAGTTGATTCAAGCGTTTACATTCCGGGAATTTTGATGTCAAACAAGCAGCTCGCTCTGGTCGGTCTCATACGGATAAAGTCGATGACATTTTTGAAAAATTGTAGCAAGATCGGCATATTAGTAGTTACAACATCGCCAAGGAACTGAGTGTTGACCACAAAACATTTTTGACTCATTTGTAAAAGTCTGGCTATACAAAAAAGCTCATTATTTGGGTACCACACGAGCTCACTGAAAGAAACCTAATAAATCGTGTACTCATTTGAGATTCTCTATTGAAACTTAATGAAACCGGACCATTTTTGAAAAGATTGATCACTGGTGATGAAATGTGGATCACCTACGACAAGAACGTGCGAAAAAGATCATGGTCAAAGGGAAGTCAAGCTCCACTGTAGCGGAACTTAGATTAACACGCAATAAGGTGATGCTGTGTGGTGGGAATGGAAGATCCTCGTTTATTATGAGCTCTTTTCGCTGGGCAAAACTATCGATTTGGATCTCTATTACCAACGACTAAGGATACTCAAGCAAGAAATAGAGCAAAAACGGCCGGAATTGATCAAGAGAAATTGAGTGGGTCTTTCATCATGATAACGCCAGACGATACACATTTTTGGCCACTCAGCAAAAATTGAGAGAGCTTGGTTGGGAAGTGTTAATGCATCCAGCATATAGTCCTGACTTAGCACCCTCAGATTTTCACCTGTTTCGGTCTCTTCAGAATTCTTGGGGTAGTGTTAGGTTATCATCAAGAGAGGAGTGTCAAAACTACTTATCGCATTTTTTAAATAAAAGCCCAAGATTTCTACAGCAACGGGATTATATCACTACGATGGCAACAAGTTATCGAACAAAATGGCATATACACTGCAGGCAATAAGTTTAAGACCACCTTAATTAAAGTAGGAAAATTTAATAAAACTCCAATAAAATATTAAATGTTTAATTAAACTGTTAAAGCATTTCATATACTTGAAAAGCGTAAAGAAATATTAACAGTCCATGCTAAACAAGGCTATATTTGTCTAAACTGATTTTTCATCAAAAAAATCCTCCTTTGCATTCTATGATTTTTTTCACAAGTCTCGGCATACGGGCAATCAATTTGTTGATAGTGTCTTGTGATACATTACGTCAACTTTCGCACAACGCATTCCACATTTCTTCTCGCGTGGATGGACCACAACTACGGACGTTCCTATGAGGCTCTTCCCACAAAAGTACAATGGGATTAAGATCCGGGCTCTGAGGAGGCCTAACCATGTTTTTTAACACCCCTTGTGCCTCTTTCTCTTCCAAATATCCTCTGCATAATTTTGAGTTATGCTTAGTATCATTGTCCTGTTGGAAAATGAATCCATCTCCAATTAATCACAACCCCAAAGGAATGGCATTTTGTTCTAAAATTTGTTGTACACTTCCTTTTTTATGATTCCATGTATTTTGATCAAATCGCCAGTTCCTTGGCTAGAAAAGCAACCCCAGACCTTAATTGAGCCACCACCATGCTAGATTGTTGGGACTACACAGTCTGGCATCATCTTTTCTTGGTCACTGCGTCGAACGTAAATTTTTCGTTTTGAACCGTATAGCTCAAACTTGGATTCGTCGGCCCTAAGATTTTTTTTAAAATCTTCTTCAGTCTAATCTCGATGGGCAAGGGTCCATTGCATCCGTTTTTACTTGTTTTGTGGCATTAGCTGAGGTTTTCGAACGGCGACACGACCATACCATTTAATTACGCATATCTCAGTCGCCGTTTTACTGGAGTCAATGATAAAGGTTTAACTTGGGTTTCGTTTACTTCAACGATTTCCGGTGCTGTTAAGCGTCTATTTCGCTTGCTGGCAACAACAATGAAATTATCTTCACTTGACGTAGTAGCTCTCGGCCTTCCCGAGCGTGGACGAACTTGAAAAGTGTCTGTCTCCCTGTATCGAGTTCTTGTGCCATGAACACAAGTCTTCGATAACTTCAATTGTAAAGCAATCGGATTTGCCTTCATTATGTAAAACAACGATGGCAGAATGCACTTCACTGCAAATTTCGCGTGCTTTTCCAATTTTAAGACGTCTCAACTGTAGAAACCACAAGTTTAGACTAATTGAGATTGTTTGTAAACAAAATCATGTAAACTGAGGTAATAATAACGTGTTTTTAGAAGCTAAATAATCCTTATTATTGACCAATGGGAAATAAAAGCAAAGCAATTAGTTGTTATCCCATCATAAAAATATTATTACAACTCTACCACCTGGCTCTAACGCAGCGTTTGCCGGTGTTTGAAAACATTACATTTTTTTATAGAATTAAGGTGACAAACAAACACACAGTCCACCTGATGGTAAGGTTGCTGTGGCCTATAGACATCTGCATCTATCCTCGATTACGAATCAAAATGCAGATGCGTTGTCACTTGTTACCTCTGAGGACTAAGATGGAATGCCTCGTTTCCAGTAAAAAAGGGTCTCTGGTTCTCTACACTCACCATACGAAACACAGCAGCGTTATGCTACATTTTACGCTGGTATTCTGTGAGATCGTGGTCCTTCCCCGGTCGAGCCGACCCTTTCATGCTACAACTATCAGTAATATAGCTGAAGCATGGCTCTACCATGTAAACACATGTTTATTGTCCAATAACTTGAAAGTAAATAAAAGAATGACTTCTTTAGATATTCGATATTAACAATAGAATATGCAAGTGTACATTTCTTTTATTTATCTTATTATTTCGTTACAATTTATAGATAATTATGTTGTTTAAGTGTGGTCTTAAACTTTTGGCCGGCAGTGTATATATTATAATTAAATATAAATAAACTTTGAAAAAAAAAAATGTCTTCAATTTGTATATAAAATACAAAGAAACTTTTTCCCCGACCTTTTATTTAATTTAAATCACTTTATACATTTTATTCTTTTAAAGTTCGTTTTATAAAATTATTATGTAAATATCATATAAATAAGTTAAATTCGTTATAATCAATATAATTTAATTACTGCTTCTGCTTTTGTTTGTATCAATACGCACTACATAAAACTTTATTATCTTAAAGGTTTTATTTGGAGCGTGACTAGGCCTTACAAAATAACTGATTACGATTATAATTTTAATTCACTTACTTACTCACTAATTACTTAACAACTTAATTACATAACTACTGCAATTATTATTATGGTTACGCTTTCACCATTAAGTATGTATTTTAAGATGCCGTGAAAATAAATGTAAAATCTATGATAATAAAGTTATGGCGTAGCTTAGCTCGCTGTAAATTTCACAGTACGGAAGCAACGCGCGTTCGATCTCCGCCGGCACCAATGAAATTGTTAATTGCAATTTTAAGTGCTGTTTTACCACGTGCTCGCTGTTGAAGGAGCACGTCGTGAGGAAATCCGCATGCCTAAGAAATAATTTATTTCGGACATGTGAAGTCCGCCGACAACCAATAAAGCAACGCGGCAGACTTATTAAAATCCTCTGCAACGAGATTAGACTATATACATGTGTATAATGTAGCTATGATAATAATATAAAATAAATAAATAAATAAAATAAAATTGATTTTATTTCAGACTTTTGTCCATAATATTGTTAGTAGCATAAAAAGGAGATCTTAAAAACTAGGTTAGTAACATTTCTATTAGAAAATATTTATTTTAATTTAAATATCTGCCTGCACTTCGCGACACCCCCGCAACATGTGTGTGAGGGTACACCCAGTGCCGAAGTATCGGACAGTCAGGCTTTTCACTGATTACTTTGAGAATGGTGTTGGCGCTCCCCCGCACCGTGCGCAGGAGGGATGCGATTCGCTTGCGCACTACGGTGTAAAACCCATCAGTGTGCGCCAATGCGAACATTCCCAATATAAAAACACTTTAAATTTCTTTTTCACTAAT